TACTATTTTACGGAAATTGTAATTACGCTCAATTTTAAAAAGCTTTGGTAATATCAGTCCTTTTTTTCATCTTTATCATCAGTTCAATTCTCGTTGATGGTAAATCCAAATCATCTTCTTCAACCTTTTTCGTAGATTGTTCTTTGCCAGGTTGGTTCAATCAAGCGGTTTTCGGTTCCCTTTCTATGTCCATCTCATAATCGTTTGCCTCATCCTCAGCAACCTCTTTGGGATTCTGCGGGCTGGAAATCTCTTTGACCGTTTTATCGCATTTCTAGACCTATACTGTGGTTCACAGTGCAAACACTGTGAGCGATTATAACGCTAGATTCTAATTATTTCGCCTAACAAGGAGTAATTATGCAGAGATAAAAATAATTCTATTGATCGTAAGAAACGATGCGTTTCGTATTGGAGAAACTTAAACTATAAAGATATATCATATTATGGACATCCTTTTCTCTATTTGCATTTAGCTTTCCCTCTAAAGTTTTCTCTAAACTATTGATTAAACATTTTAACATTCAGTCGCTTTCAAAAATCGAAATAGCCTGAAATTTCGTTCTTTCTCTGTTGCTCTCTTATTTTTTATCAGACTGCAATTTTTTTAAATTGTAGTTGATAAAATTTTCGTATACACTCAAGATTTTTTAATAATTTTTGATAAAATATTATATCGCAAATTGTATGTTATCGCGGATTGTCTGCCTGACAATTACCTGCTGTCTTCTACGTCCTTTACTACGAAATCTGCTTTTTCTTTTTCTCCTCCTTCTGCTTCTACGACGCGTTCTGGATCCGCTTTTCAATCTTTGACTTCGTCTGCGTCTTTCTCGTCTTCTTTGTTTCCTCTTTTGCTCTTGAGGATTCTCGAGTCTAGCGTCGGAGTAACACAATTTTTAAAGAGATCCATCTCGCAAATGCTGATCTTATTTCTTTATAAATCGTTTTTCATCAAGTCCGAAGACACGCGTAGAATCCTGCACGTAGGATCAGAAGGGCTAAGGTAGCCCGACTCAACACCAAAACCCAACGTCTTTTTTTATATACTTTCTTGCCTCTCTCGTACCTATTGGAGAAAACTTAAAAAATTTGTTTGAGAGATAAAAAATTATTTTTCGAACAATAAAACCTTCTCCTCTTATACTTTTCTTTGAATCACCGTAAAATACACACACGCGCGCGCGCGCGCAGGTTAGATATACAAAGTTTTGTATATACAAAGTATATTTTTTTAATAATACGGATATTATATGGAGTGTAATAACATGTATGGAACTAATATTATCGAAATCAAGTTAAAATTTTATACATATAGCATGTCTATATGTCTGTAGTTATAGAACATTTGTAGAAGTAATAAGCAATTGCAGAAGTGTACGTTTCTCTACTACCGCTTTTAATAATTACTGCCATTACAATCTAATATTGTATAGAAATTTGTAATTACTTTTTCAATTAATTTTGTACCTTCGCTGTTCACGCATTTTTGCAAATATGAGGCCGGCAGATCCTTGTAAATAGAGCATTACTTGATATTGTGCAGTAATTTAGAAATCCTATCATTGTCCTTACGCCTTACTTTGTAGCCTGTGCTTCTGCCTATGATTCGCGAAACATAATCTATGATTTCGTTATGATGTTTCTCTTGGTCACGGCAACTGCACTTGTTCACAGGATAACGTTCTGTATGGTTAGAAGCTTCGTAATTCGTAACAAGGATATAAAAATTCGTAACAAGGAACTTGTAGACTAACTCAGGAATGTTTGGCTTGCGACGACGATGCTCTTTAGATTACATTATGGTGCAGAATAAATTAAATATTTTTATTTTATTTTTCTGTATTATACAATTAATCAAAAAAGCTAAAATATAAAAAATATACACTTTAATATACTGTTAATTTGGCTGGTATCATATATACCTACTATTTCAATTATTACAATTAAAATTGAAAATTAAAAAACCGCATCTTAAATAAAAGCTTGCTAATAACAATAATTCACATAATTAAATAATGAAACATGAAATTAATTTATGTACAAATATACGAAGCAGATATTATCAAATTTAGGGGGTTAGACAGAAAAAGTTTTTTCTATATATTTATTGCAAATTTGCATAAGATCAGTTAGGTTAAAAATACGTGAATATACATTACAAGAAATAATTAAAGTTTTTTTAACTCATCAATAATCACTCACTCATTTCTTCGTGATTTCTTGGTGATGCGTGCCTTTTTATGCGAGTCATTTTGAGTTAGTTTTGCTATTTTTTTTATTTTTAAACAACGTGGAAAATTTGTCGTCTAATTGTTGAATGACTTAATTTTTGAATTTTCTGATTAATCAGTTAATTGTGGCGCGAATTTTGTTTGAAGTCATCCGAGAGAATTAAAAAGGATAACCCAATGACTAATAATGTCGTTTTCTGTCGGTACTTACTTCTTAGCTAATTTTTCATTTATTTTCTCTTTTTTGTTTAAAGTCATTTGCAATTATCGTTCGAGTAATCGATTAATTAATGAGTAGATTTTAATAATTCACAAATATATAGTAATACACATACATATAATCAAGATATTATACATGTATATCACAGAAATCAAATGCGATAAGTCTTTGAATTCTGTAAACAATCAAAACATTTCTCTCTTTCATAATAATATTTATTTTATTTGCTAGTCAAATTCGATAGTAATAAGATTAACTTCATTATATAATATTTAAAAGTAAATTAATTTGATAGACATCTAATAGACAGGAAAAAGGATACAAGTAAGAAAATGGAAAGAGGAAACCGAAACATTAAAATGTTTGTGACAGCGGCATTTTGCCAAGTTCGTTTAAATCGGCAACAATTCCGACATAACGGTGTTGCAGGTATTGCATTCAATAAATAACTCCGCGCTTTGAATATAAATAAAATTCCAGTTAAAAATCTTTATTTTTCTCTGCTAATATTCAAAACTTATTACTTATTTATTAATTTACTCCATAGTGTAGGACATTATAAATTAATTTTAAAAACGAATGTTATATATATAACGCAGAGAGCGCATCCTCAAATAGTATATTTAAAAAGATTATAACAATATTAAATATTTGCAGAATAGATTTCTCTCTTTTCTATCGAATCTACATAAAATAAGATAGAAAAAATAATACACATTGCATACTTGTGCGATATAAAATATAATTTTAAATATATAAATCTCAAAAATGCATAATAAATATATTTTACAAACGGTAAAAAAAAAGACAAAGAATACGAAAGAAAGGAGATTCTAGTTTCTAAACAAAGAAAAATGCCATACAAGATGCAGGGTATTCAATTCATCCATTTAAAGTTCCATTTCTCTAGTCGTATTGCAGTTCATGTTCCATACTCCCTTTTTCAGATCTTTTATCATTGTCGTCATCACTGGAATTTTTGCTTTCTGTCTTGTTATCATTAATATTCTCCTCAGTCTTTCGTTTCTCCATCCTCGATCTGTCCTCTTGACTTGACATCGACTTTTGTCTCTCAGCTCTGTAGTTATCTTCATTACTTTTATGTTGGTCGCAATCTTTTCCGCTAACATTCTTATAACTTTTCTCAACTGGTTCACGATCATTCAGAGCACATTTCGAGGAAAAAGACGTACGCTGTCTTTTGACTGGCTTTTTAATGTTTCCGTTGTCGTCCATTTTTTGTTGTTGTTCTCGTTTATTATTGTTGACTGCACTGTTAATTTTGCTAAAACAAACAAAATAATTTTTCTTCTTGATAAGCAAATGTAAACTGACTGAAAACTTATTCTGTAGAATATCACAAATATTATGCTATCCATACAAACTGATAATACAATATAAGAAAAAGAGAATTTAATATCACGGTGACATCTTTTTAACCTTCTCTCTTTTCATATAATCTTTATTTAAATCTAATGCATTTAAATATAAACATATTAAAACATCCAATATATCACCATATTAAAATCCACATAAAAATCCATTAAATCCATTTTCGTATGTAATACATTGTAAGCTTGTTTTTGTCATTGTTTTTTCAATATAAAGAAAAAAGTGATATTTTTAGAAACAGATTCATGAGAGGTAGTTCTTTAATTTTATGTTGCGCAATTTTATGAGAAAGAAATATAAAAGTATAAAAACCGTTTTATATCAAATTTTAATACTTTATTACAAAATTTTAAAATTTTATTATACAATTTAATATTTTAATATCTTGAGATAATTATTGCGTATTACTTTCATGTATCAAATGGCTGTAAGAGGACAGTCTACATCTAAGATATATAGGATATATGTATAAGAAAAACTTGGAAAAATTATAATAAATAAATCTCTTTCTAAATAAAATAATTAACTAACTTGTTCTTTCTCGCAAAAGCTTTCAATTTGTTTCTCTCGCGTAACGATTTACCAGGCGATTTTTTCGGCTTGTTCTCCCGCGTGCTTAAACTTGTAGCAGGATTTAAAGTAGATTGCTTTTTGTGTCTGCTTCTCGAAGCCATTCGCCTGTCGTCCATATTACGAAAAGATTTATCTTGCGGAATTCCGCGACGCATTGCTTTTCGATCAGCAATGGTTGTCAAACGCGGCGTCTTTCCTCCTCGTCGAGCAATGCGTCGTCTTTGTCGAGATTCGGTGTCGGACCGTCTCCAACTCCAAGATTGTGTGTCCAGAGTCGGACACACACGGAGTATGTTACCTTGTCGATCGGTTGGGATCAAATAACCCGATCTCACGCCAAAAGATAGTGCTTTGCGGATATACTTTTTGGCCTGACGCTTTCCTGCAAAGTGTAGATATCATTGCAGCATTGGTTGTCACTCGTCGCCACTAGTGAACGCGAGTTTGATATTGCCAAAAACGCTTTTAGTTCTCCATGCATGTAATGACGTTAGATATATATTTTGATATTATATACAGGCACACTGAATGAGCCAATCTAATGCGCTTGAAATGTGCTCGCATTCGATGCATGTGTTCTAATAGAACAGATTGTTACTACACCACCCCAGCGCAAAAATTGTCAGTTTATCATATATAAATTGTTAGAAAAAGAAACAGAAAAGCTTTTTTACAATTTCTTGCGCGCGACCGCGCGCGCACGCGCACTCCAAAATTATGTAAAGAAATCTTTTAAATTATTTGGCTTGTTTTAAATACATCGAGAGAAAAAGAAGAAAAAAGAAAAATTAAATATAAGTTATTTTATTTATATTGGTAAACCTAAAGCGCGGGAACCTTCCAAAACAAATGTTTAATGTGAAATTCAATTATATATACGTATATCATTGTAGTCATTTCTTTATGCTACTCTATATTGAACATTTATTTTTACCACTATATACACAGGCAGAGAAATTCCATTAAAAATGCACCTTCTTCGACGCCAGCTTTAATGTAACTGTTAATAAGCTGTACCAAGGATCTTTTTCGAAAAAGTGCTTTGGCACTGTTGAGCGAGTTTGCCAGCGTAATTGGTTCCACTGAGACATTTGACACGCTACTATTCGCGGAACTTGTTGGTGCCGAGCTATTTGCAGCATCTGTTGCTTCCGTGAGACTATCGATAGATGTAGGCTTAGAGTCTAACGTGCATTCAGACATTTGTGTGGATTCCGAATCATCGCGATGATCGACCGTTTCGTATGAAAGTCTTTGCCGCTCGTGAGAGTTCTGCGTTTTTTGACAATGTGTTCCGAAGCGACGTTTCGAAGACGGAAAGCGTTTTGTCTCTACGTGATAATAAACATATACTAACGATATTAGATTACGGATCGGTATCTTTAGGTTATTTCTAACTGAAGATACAATTAATTTTATCGAATTATATCGTTTATAATTATATATAAAATATACAATTAGAATAAAATACAGCGTTATATAGATATTTTTACTCGGAACCTTTGGTTTCAAAATTGAATAGTTCAAGTTGTGCAATATTTAAGGGTAGATTAAAATAATTTAAAATTTAAATAGAACAAAATAAAATAATTTAATTTTATATCTGAGTTTATTGTAATTTGTTAATCAGTAATTATGCGTCTCAATATCATATTTACCATGATTATACTTATCGATGGTGAGGAGTTCATAGACCAATTGAGGTATACTGATAGAATCGCATGATTGCCGTTGATATAGAGTGTTGGCGCGTTTGCAGCGTGACGATCTAATTTGGGAACTAGTATCAGAATGTGATATTCGTCCTGTTATCCGCTTCTTCGCGGGTCGGTCTCTCGCTTTTCTCGTTTTTGACGTCATTATTTGATAATAGTATTTCTCTTTCGTTTTCCGCTTTCCGGCAAATTCGCTGTACAGGCATGCGATCGCATAGTTGGCATTGATTTGAGATAAAAGTTGAATGGTGCTTTTTTTCGTTGTTTTATTCGTTCGTAGAAAGGTCTATAAATAAATTTAATCGCAATCTTAGTATTTAAAAAAAAAAAAAAATATATATATATATATATATATATATATATATAGGTATATATATATAATGATTCCAGCATGCTTTCTCTTTATTAAACATTTGGATGAATTATTATTGATATATGTCTTGCCAAGAATAGAATTATGTTCTCATCACCAGTAGCTATATACTATTTTTAGTATAGCTATCCGTCACAAAAATAAGAGACACAATCTCACAATCTCACTCTATTGATTTATCATTGTGTCATTATATTAAACAGTAATTGATATCAATCTCTTTCAGAAAAATCATAATTGAAGAATCAACAATAAATTATCTAAATAACTTGTTACAGCTTATATTTATTGTATAATAATGCTCCGTTTGGATATACCATTTCTATCGATTTTCAATGTATTTGTCGTAATTGGACGTGAGAAACGAAACTTGTCCATATCCGAATTATAAGAATTCCTGATATAATGGCCATTTTTCAATAAAGGTTGAAGCTTCAGTTTCTTATTGTTATCTTTTTTGCAGAATTTCTAAAGTGTCACTAAAAATTATAAAAATATAAAAATTATAAAAAATATAAAAATATCATTATTTAAAGATAAGATAGGAAAAAATATGTAAGAGAGAGTTGAGAGAATTTTTTATTTAAGCATCCTTCTCACCCTCTCTCTTTCTAAATATATACATATATAATTTTAATTAAATGCATAAAATCTCTTCTTCCAGTAAATAAAATTTTACTTGGATTATGTGAAATTATACCTTGCATAGCTTTCTTCTAACACTTCCGCTAAGGGCCATTTTCATCAATCTTCGATTAAGTTAAAAACCGAACTTATGTCATATATTATACGGTCTTAAAACTTATTATAAGGTCTTAAAACTGCTGTTGGTATTACTATTGGCATCTGCTAGTTTTAATTGTCGGTTAACTTAATCGAAGATTAGTGAAAGTGATCGTCTATGACAAGAGGAAATAATATTTTTAGCTATTAAAGATTTCTTGAAACTGTTTCGCGAGAAGAAATATTATAATCATAAATCTAATAAATGTCTAATAAATGCTGAATGCAGGACATGTCATTTACTTAAATGACAAAAGCTAGATTATAATGTATATATAATAAATTTGTAGGTAAGTTGCCGAGTTATCAACGGTAGATTTAAACTGTGCAAAGTTGCAGGTGAAGCATATTCACCAACATCATCGATCGGTGGGTCTGTCGGCATGACCAACGTAACTACACTGTTGCAAGATGAAAACGCATCGTATGTACTATTGGGCTGAGACATCAGTGATTACCACTCGGTTGCCGCGCAGTTATCACTTGGTTGTAACATTAAATCACCGTAGTTACCACCGAGAGTTACTCCCAATCATCACTACTTGTACGTTTGAATAAGTTAGCTAGGAGCAGCGTATCCCCACGAAACTTCCTTCGTTGCTTCGCGATCAATACTCCAGTCCAGCTTCAGACAGATAGCGTGCAACGATGGTTGCCTCGTGAGTATAGTCGCGCTGTGCATACTCTCTCGTATAACGTCTCGAGTTTTCAGACGAGTGTTCTACCTGGTTCCGCCTGATATGCAACATAAACTTGCCGCATGTATGTTCATTTTTCTAGTGCAAAATAAATATATATTTATATGCTGTGTACAAAATGCTGTCCTGCATAAATGTCGCGTCTTGCGAGGAACGTTATTGTCAGGGGAAATCTCGGAATACATGTTGAGAGTGTGATCACTGAATTTTTTATTCTGTAGCGCGCTTAGGCGCGCGATATTCTCGCAAGGACAAAACGGCGAAGATGAAGAGACAGAATGTCAGAACTCTGTCCTTGGTAGTGTGCACATTTACGTATCTCCTTGTCGGTGCCGCGGTATTTGACGCCCTTGAATCGGATACTGAGAGGAAACGCTGGGAGTTTCTCTCGGGTGAGTTATCTTATTCGCTGTTTAAGTCGATGAATATTTTTAAGCGGATCGATAATTGATAATTATTTTTGTCACTCGCGCGCGATGGGAAATGTGTTGCTGCTGCAGAGATACGCCGCAATATGATGAGGAAATATAATATCACACCAGAGGACTACAAGATGGTCGAAATTGTAATAATAGAAAACAAGCCACATAAAGCGGGGCCGCAATGGAAATTTGCGGGTGCCTTCTATTTTGCCACTTTAGTATTAGCCATGATTGGTAAGTCGTGCTTTGTTCATGCTTTGCTCGAAAATTGTTAAAATTATTAATGTATTTACATTAAAGACTGGATAATAAATTTAAATTTAATTAAAAATTATCTTTTGTATCACAAATCAATAGAAAAAATGTATTTATATATAATTGATATTAAAATAAAACAATTACAGAGATAGAGAGAAAGAGAGAGAGAGAGAGAGAGAGAGAGAGAATGGCATCTGATAAAATCTTAAAAAAAAAAATGTATATATATATATATATATATATATATATATGTATGTAAGTAAAAAAATATTTTTTGTCAGGTTATGGGCATTCCACTCCTGTGACCAAAACCGGAAAAGCGTTTTGTATGGTGTACGCAATGGTGGGAATCCCTTTGGGATTGGTGATGTTTCAGAGCATTGGCGAGCGATTGAATAAGTTTGCGTCGGTCGTGATCAAACGGGCAAAGACGTATCTTAGGTGTCAAAGAACTGAAGCTACAGAGATGAATCTCATGTTGGCCACTGGTCTGCTTTCGAGTATAATTATTACGACAGGTGCTGCAGTGTTTTCGAGATACGAGGGCTGGAGCTACTTTGATAGTTTTTATTACTGTTTTGTGACACTCACGACTATAGGTTTTGGTGATTATGTCGCTCTCCAGGTAATAACGCTAAATATATAATTTAACACTTGGCTGATTGCGAGCGAGGGAGAAGCACTGCATCAGTAAGATTTATAGATAAATTATTTTGCAGAATGATCAAGCGCTTTCCAATAAACCTGGATATGTGATTTTGAGTTTGATCTTCATCCTGTTTGGTTTGGCCGTAGTCGCCGCCAGTATTAATTTGCTCGTATTGCGCTTCATGACCACGTAAATAATTAACTAAATACATAAATTTTCTGTAACAGAATCAATTATTTTTTTACAGATATTTGGAAAAAAATATTAATTTCCTGCGAAACATCATTTTAGGGATTCCGGTGAGGCGCGTCGCGACGATATTGAGCTGCAATCCGCCTCGCATCACGTTTTGACGTTAGACGGTGAGGTTGTGGCGGTAAACGGAAAACTCCTGGCCAGTCACGTGCCTATCGTGCACGATACAGACGATTGCGTGAGCGTATGTTCCTGCACTTGTCTAGGTCCAGCAAATTCCGAACTGCTGGACCCTTCCGGGTATCAAGGTTACCGACCACCCCCGACTTCTGCCAGTCTCCGAGTAAAACGTGCGTCCGTCTGATGGAGGGAGTTTCGTCGTCGCAGTTTACGTCGCCGATTTTCCAAGGCCGATAGCCGAGAATTGCTCGGCATCGATGTTTAAAAATGTTGATTCTCCGCACAAAACTCAGCTAGCTCGCAAGAGAATACCGCGCACTGTGATACACGCATCCATGAAGGACAATTTATAACGTACGTTTCGTAAAGATTTTCACACTCTCTGTGTGAAAAAATGTATGACATTTAAAAAACTGCCATTTAAAACAAAATGTTTGATGTATGATGTATGATACGCGTATAATCAGAACGCCAGCTGCAATGAGAGATTGTTAATCGTTCCTGTCCGAATCCTGTCTAAAGCTTGAAGAAGGACGCTTGAATAATGTGTTCCTGCTACATTTCTGGCTGCATTATATCAACGCACGTATCCCTAAACAAGTTGATGCATTTTGATAATTAATGTTGCTCAATTATATCAATTTTTGACGCATCGATGGTGTATATCCGCGTACGTGTTACGCGATCGATTTGAATATGACACATGCATGATGTGATACCGTATAATAATCGTTTCAATCGGTAAAATACATAAATATGAAATATCGATTATTCGAATATTCAACTGAATATCTCAAGTGCAGATCTTTGTAATATTGTCTTAAACAAAAGTGGGAGGGATCCACTACACCTCAGAAGAAATGTACGCGAGTAATCGAATCTCGCGAATTATAATATCTAGCTAAAAAAAAAGTGATGGCACACATTTATACATACATATATCGTAATGTTGTTAATGTTACATTAATGTAATATATGCATGTATGCAAAGTGAAAGAGCATAGATCGCTTCGATAATCTATTCTAGAGGTTTTTACATTTAACAGAATTAATTAACATTTAATTTAATATCACAAGCAATTAAATGCTACCGCGTTACTTTCATTATACGTAAACAGATTTTGTTGCATTTGCCACATGTTTATTATTTTTTTGACAAAACTTATGTATTGTTTTATTTGGAGGCTTGTATATTCGCACCAATTAGAAGATATTTTTGCGGTAGATATAAGTCTGAATTCATTTTGCGTGAAGTACATTATTACTTCTTGCTGTTAAATATATATATATATTTGAAAACCTCTAACTGAATCGTATTATATCGCTGCAAAGACTATATATACATACATATATGAATATAAACGCAATAGAACAATATTCTAGATATTATGAATACCTCAACAGCGTATATTACACACACACACACACACACACATTTTCATATTTATATTCGTAAAGAAATTTTGTCTCAAAAAATTCGACGTGATCACTTTTACGTAATGAGATCAGAAATACATATGTACACATAGATGAGTCATATTTTTTTACACATATTTACAAGATAAAATAAAAAGTGCAAGAAAATACCCGGAAAGACTGATAACTTAAACTAAATCCAGCAAAATTGCTATTTGTTTTAATAGAAATTTTTGGACTTTTATTGTTTAGTTGCATTAGTATTCTTTAAGATATGTAGTTTATCATGCATTTTTTAATATCATGTTGTTATCTGAAATAAAGTGATACGATAAATTCCAAGCAGCAATGAGAAGTAATTCAATTCTTTAAATATTTCATCTTTTATTTATTGTATGTTAATAATATAAATTAAAAGTAAAAGTGGCATTTCAACATTTACAACATTAGTTTCTATTTATATTTTATTTTCAACTGACACGCCAAAGTTGAGAGATAGCGTTTAATTACATAGATTTTATTGATATTTGATAGATATTTCGTTTTGTTGCCTCATTTCATTAATTATTGTAATGCATCGTAATCGCGATTGTTACGATCCGTATATATATGTATATACACACACACACACACACAC